GCATCAACTGACATCAGAATATATTTGCAGCTTGTTCTGCTATTACGGCGTTCGTAATACCACGTAACGTTTAACTAAGTTATGCAAATCTGAGAGTATTTCCCTTACGTAATTATTGGTGCGAACGTAGTGTCGCTTCGATCCACGATCGATTTGACGAGCTTTTGTCGTCGACTCATCGCATCAATAAAATAATGTTTTCTTCAAAACGATTTGAAACTTTTCCTCTTGTTGTTTATTCTTATGCTTCACCCACAAAATGATCGAATTAACATTACTTTTTAGAGGTAACTGTAAAAAAATTATTTATTTATTTATTTTTCTTTCTTTTTGTTTGATTTTAAACATCGATCATCTTTCTCATGAATATGATGAATCACCAGAGAACTTCAAAGCATTTACTTTTTTTTTTCTTTTAGTTTTTTTTTTAACTAGCACCAGCATACGTGTACATATGCACTGACTTATCGGTTTATTACGAAATATAGTCGTTTGCCATTTTTGTACTAACAACACATTTAAGAAAAAAATAAATAAAAAAAAAAACAGCACAAAACAAAACTCCAGTTAAAAAGCAAAAAGCAAAGAAAAAAATTAAAAACACGGAAAAAATAATACAACAAATTGAATTGACAAACCTACTAAATACTTATGCTTTTATATATATATATATATATATATATATATATATACCACAATAAGTCTTTAAATAACGTCACAGAACCGAATGAAGAGAAAATATATTTACGTATATTGTTGATAAACAAATGTATTAAAAAATTGGATGGGTGGACGGACCGGCAGACGGACAGACGCAGAGACATAGAGGCATAGAGAGCCAGCCAAGTCAGAGATGCAGAGTTGTATGTTAATATGACAACAATACAACGAACGCTGAGCAGTAAGCGCAGCACAGAAAAAGTTCATTCACGTCACGGCCATCAAGATTGGCAACAACCACAAGTAAATATATACACATGTATATGCTAAATAGTGTTAAAGCAACAACTACATATCACAGAGAAAATGAAAATGTATTTTTTTCGCACACTCACACACACACACTTACACACACAGACGTATATAGATATACATGCAGCAATAGATGCAGTTAAGCTTAAACGTCCAGAAACCAACAATCATTAAGGAGGAGCTGGTGGGCTATCAATTCTTTTGTCGTCGTTTAAAAGATGATAATTTAAGAATATTTTATAAAACAATAAAAATTTGATGTATGTACGCATGTGTATGTGTGAGCATTTGAATACCCGCTAAATGACTGTCATTACTGAAATTTACTGTAATTTCATAGTTTTATTAAAAAGCACTTATTATTGGACGGCCCATGAACAGAACGGATATCAAGACAACAAGACTGAGTTTGTGTCATGACCCAATGAATAGAATGCGAATGCTCTTGTCCCTTAATGGGATTCGATTGATGCATAACAAAGTTATATAAATGTCAACAATGCGATTTTCATTTTTCTCGTATACTTTCTTCTCATAGGGTAAAGCTTTACAAGCATTAAAGATTTGCAAACAAAGTTAGGTTACCGTCGTAGTGGCCATCTAAAAGGACAGGTTATGGTCAGAATGGGGTGTGGAAAGGGTATGTTCGATCGGCAAGTTTCATGTGTCTCTACCGACCAAGCACTCACCGTACTTGCTTACCACATAACAATTGTAATTAAAATATACTGTAGAACCTGGGGAACTGAACCGCCGTATGTCGCCTTGATTAATCGCTCTTCTAAATTACTAAATTGGGCTATCCACGAACCCAATAGGCCGGGACCTAAAACGATGGATATTCATGCAATACAGCTATTGCTTTAGCGGGCGATAAAGGGCACTGCGCTGTTCTTCTGCTGAAAATTACCATCATCCACGTGCGTAGTTGCAATTTCAGGCCAAAGAACAACGTCACCTACCGATACGCTCGAACTAATAGCACATACAATATAAACAAGTTTCAGCATTAGGCGAGCACCGTACAAAACTGTCACTGATTACGATTAGAATTTCTTTTGGGTTTTCTCAAACAGAAATGAGCCTCATCAATCACTCAGTGCATTCCCTGCTGCTCTCAATCGAGGAATCCACCTGAAACAACATCCTAGCTTTCAGTTGACAGCTGCACAGTGAAGATACAAAAATTTAAATGACACCTCCAGCTCAGCTCAACGGGTCTAATTTTTCTTGTTTGGAATAAAACACATTTGGGAACCTTTAAATGTTTCGTTACGGACGCCGAACTCGGCAACCTGCACTTCTGTCCATCTCTGCCCACAGGAAAGTTTTCTTATTGCGTAGCGTCCCGCTGAAAAGCCCGAATCACAAATTTTATTAATGATCAGGAGATTCTACGATTTATTAGTTCTATTGTCCGTTTGTCAGTTTTGGTGTAAAGTAGAATATATAGAATGACGAGATACATTTCTCGAATTAATTGTATGGCGCTCCGATAGAAACCGTTATCAAATATTATTACTATCACACGTGCGTCAAAATTATCAAAATTTATGAAACTTATATTTTTGTCGCAAACCCACATACATACATACATATGTACATACATACATACATACGCACAGTTTTATTCTCTTTTGTTGTGTTTAGTGTGCTAAGGAAACCACAATTGAGTTCAACATAAGAGTTTTTTATTTAGAAGTGTACAAAAAATGTATAAACAAAAAAAAAGAAAAAAATTTAAGAGTTTTGAATAGCGCGTAAGAAAAAGTTAAGAAAACAAATATTCTCTCACCACACCCTAAACTTATACTTCCATAAAAATGTAAAAATGATTTATTTTGCATAAAATAGTGTTCGATACAAGACAACAAACGATAATTAATGTCAACGATCAGAAATCAATTGTCTAAATATTTGTAGAAGCAGTCAAGCGTACAGCCTATTACTGTCTAATACTTGCTAAGGATCCGATGATGAACGACAACAGGCATAGTATGTTCATATAGATCGCGTGTGTTGTCGTTGAACTCAAAGCAACATCTGTACGTTTTTAAAGAGTCTATCGATACCAAGAAAAATTAAAATGAAAAGCAAGAATAAAATAAGTAAGAAAGTTATGCTTGGCTGGAAACGTACCTTTTACGCCTTCACCACTCATGCCACATTATACCGCTGCGTGATAAGCGTGATAAGATCGGTATTAAAGAATTTCCGATGTTTTACGCGAAGTTCTTAACATACAATGTATATTTTTTTTTACTAGGCGTGGTCATCTATTCGCCTTTTTCAGAAAAAAAATCTATCCAGCCTACAATGCTCTTCCATGGAAAAGAATTGAAAAACCAAGTCAACTAAGTTTCGGTATTTTGAATTAAAGAGTGGGCGTGTTCAATATTTTCCCATCTGCATGTGTACAATGTGCCGGCAAGTTTCAACATACTACCTTATTTATCTTATAAGTAATAAGCGGAAAACTTCAAACAGCGAAAAAATTGAAAATCGCTTGACTTACAACTTTGTGTGGGCGAATACCAGCGTTGTCCATAAAATCTAAGCCTAAAATATTTCAACTTTCTATCTTTTACAATTTATGATTGGTGGGCAAGAACCCACATAATTTTGCTTAGAGAAGCAGAGGAACGCAGTAAGATTTACTGTGAGCGTGTTTTTCGACCGATCTCGCTCATTTTGAATTCCCGTCTGTGTGCGTAATTTAAAGTCGACAGACATGGCTAGGTCTACTCAGAATATATATGTACGCATTATAGACTTTCTAAAACTTTCTTTTTCGTGTTACGAACATTACGTTCAAAAGATTACATATCCATCCTTCTACGGCGGCTATAAAAAAAAAGCACTCTTTCTAGTCGTACGCCTAAAGCAAAAAGATCGTTGAAACTGACTAAGAAAACTTTTATACCAATGAATTTGGTTTTGAAATGATTCTCTCTATTTTTAAAAGGTAAGGAAATCGATCTGGGTAAAGAAGGTGGGCCAAAATGCTAGGGAATACGTTGCTAATTTTCAATGAAGCAGGTGAAATACGTTAGACTACATTGAGAAACAATGTAACTAACAGAAATGAAGTCTGGCACCAGAAATTTTAAAGATATATGTACTGGAGGGTACTCAAGACTCTACATAGCTCAAGGCTACATGGCTTTAATTATTACTAATGAAATGATTCGAATTGCACAAAAGTGTGAATGTAAAGCATTTTTAGCTGGACAATCTTAGTTGCAGGCGTGACTTCTAAGATGGAAATCTGCGGCAGTCATACATAATTTCTTTCGATGATTTGTTATTAAATGAAATCCCAATAAGTGAATAGAATTTATTATTTTATGAAAGTCTAAATTTATTTCACATTAATGACAACAGTATGATAACAGCTTTCCAGTATGAGATCTTTTAAGCCTGTTACCGTAATTGAAAGAAATTCGATTTTATTTCCATGTTTTTTATTTTCAATTTTTTCATTATTATTTTCTCTATTTATTTATCGCATTTGCAATTACTTCGATAGAGGATGCTTCGATGACAAGTTCATTATATTGCGTACACAGTTCTCAGCTACTCGTCATTAGCTGGACAATCACCATAATATTCGTTTCTCATAAAAGATTGTATTTCTTGAGGAATGACACGCTATGCATGCTGTAAACTAAAAAATGATTTATTAGTGTAAGAGACTTTTGCAAATGTAAACATTTGTCCTTTGTAATCGCTCCGATTTTATTACCCAACTATTCTCTTCGTTCGTCTAAAGATCAATTCCCATTTGTCCATTATAGGAAAAACAAATATGAAATGTACTCTCGCTGCTGTTTAAGCTCATTTTGTTTCTCTCCTTTTATGGAGATTCTCGATATTTAACTGCTAATGAAAAGTAACTCACTTTTCTTGCATGCGGTTTTACCAACTTGAAGTGTTTATAAGCCAAAGATTAGAAATACTTTCTTACGAAAAGTTATATGAATAAAGATAACAGACACTTAAAAGGAAAATGTGGAAAAAAATCTTACCTCCTCCACTTCCTGGTCCCCCTCCTCCTTTAATGCCAATGTCCATAACTTAAAAAACAACGGTGACGATAGCAAGAACCAGAAATATGGCGCAACAGCTACAACAACAGCACTGCCAGCTATGGATATAAATGTATCCAAGAATAAAAGAGGAGCAGCAACGAAGTGCAAAGCAAAGACACGCGGAAAAAGCGAAGAGTAAAAGAAAAATAAAACGAAATAATCGACGTCAACCAACCAAGCGACTACGGACGTGAGTATCTGAGACTCTACAGTTGAAAATAATCGGATGAATCACACACTACGAAATAATTACGACGACAAATAATAACAACAAAAAGACCGTCCAACAACGTCGTTTTCATTTACAAATTCTGGTTGGATCGTGGAACCGTCGCACAAAACCTTTTTCGTGTTTTATTTTGACCTTATTCGCCGACCGTATCTTCTGCACTTCACGTACGTATTTTTTCACATAAGTTCATGAACATATTCTACTTGACTATGTTTTGTTGTTGCTGCTATTCTGTTGATATTATTCTTATAGTATGTTGTTGTGTTTTCTTAATTTACATCATTTCTTAAACTTTTCTTCGTACTTCTTCTTAAAAAATCACCAAAAATTCTACAGAATACATATAAAGAAAATTAATTCATGTCACGAACTTGATAAAATAAGCGAAAAGAACTTTCAAAAATACGAGAGACTCGAACGCATTTAATTATTTAGGAACAAAAAATCAAAACAACAGATAGCACATGCACACGCACTCTCTTTTTTTATAAAAAAAAAAAAGTGTACACAAAACCATTAAAAGTGTTGCTTACAGGAATGAATTCTAAATATATTAGTGTGTGTGTGCGCGCCTGGTATATGATTAAATTAATTTTTTTTCTTTTCAATTTTCTGGTTTTAGCCGATTTTTCTTTATTTTTCTTTTGTATCTTATCTTAACTTTAAATAAAAAAATTTTTGTGGTAGTTTTTCTTCACACTACGGCTGTTAACATACTTCGTTAATAATATTAAGAATACGAAGATTTCACATTATGTTACGTCTTAATATTTAATTAAAAAATGCACTTTTCTTCTTCGATTTTACTTTGATATTGATTTTCACATTTTCACATACAAAACAGAATGCGACGAACACGCCTTGATTTTGTGGGTGTTTTAGTCAAAATATATTTTAAGAAAATTTGTACACTACTTTTAAATCATTATTCGTACATATCATCATTTTTATTTCTAATCCATCCAAAAATTTACTTTTTCATCTAATTTCATATGAAATGTATATTCCATTTACATAGAAAATCCATGGCAATTTACTAATAAGTCCGACGACGATTTCCAATAGAAACAAAACGCATCCATTCCTATCGTTAGCAGCAATTTAACTGAGTTTGAAATTTGTTTTCATGTTACTAATTCCATTTCCTCTTGGGAATATAACACATCGCAATCGCAAACATATTAAATGCAACTCTGAAAATGAAACAACAAACACATATTCATGAAACGCCTATTGGAATAGAACGGAAAGGACAGAGGTTAACGGAAGGGGGGGATAACTATGTAGCGAAAGTTAATCTTCAGTTTTGTTCTATCACATATTGCACTGGCACATATGATGTGACAGTTACAGCATTTCTAGAGCTTATATATTTAGAAGGCTAAAAGAGTAAAAGAGAAAAATATTTTATTATGAAAGAGAAGCGACTCCAAGGTGAGAGAAAACAAGAAATATGTTTGCGTCCCATTCCGAAGCTTAGAGATCAATGGCATCAAGAGGCAAGTGGGCACTGTGAGGGCGCTAGCCAGCAAAAGGCTGGTAATCTTTAATCTAACACCGTGTTTGTTATTGTATACGATATATGGCTTAATTAGTTTCACTTGCTACTAAGATATGATATGGGCAATGCACATTCTAAAAGCATAGAGAGAGAGTTTTTTTTAATGCTTACATAGATGATCGAATTAATTCATGATTGAGATATTGATACTAAAATAAATGGAATTGCTTTGGATAGTTTTTCGAAAGTATAAGGAGCGCTTACCACAAATGCAGAAATATTTGAATTTGATGAATTGGCCACGTAAATTCAGCGATAGATACAATGCATAAGTTAATTTATTCACCCAATTTCATAATGTACTTCATATTAATCTAGTTTATTACTTGTTTATTTATTATTACCTAAACTTTGGGTATAGTATATATAACGCCCTCAAATTATATAATTGCGAAAATTATAAGTGAGTCTGATTCGATTACGATGTTACTGTGAAATGGCAAAAATCCTCAAAAGTGAAAATTTCGTTTAAAAGCATACAAGGTTACATATTAAAGCATATCCGAGAATATGCAATGACTATGAAGCAGTCATTCTAAACATGTCTTCCAAATGGGTTCAGTTTTCTTCATTTCTAAAAATATGTAAACAAAAGTGAATTTATTATCAATAGGGTGAGATGACAGCGTTAATAGTCTCGAAGAGTTTTTCAATTCAATACGTTTCATTTGAGAAATATGTGAGTCCTTTGATTGCTAGCTTCAGGCGTTTGAATGTGCAAAATTTTACTAAAAGAACGGTACACAAACAGCTGATCGCATCAAAAGTTTATTTAAAAGTATATTTTTCTATGAAAATTTAGCAAAACGTTTATATAAAATTAAGTACAATGTTTACATTTAATAAACTCTTTCCTTTTGCACCAAAACGATTGCAATTTTATTGTGAATATGCTAACTTATCGAAACTTAAGACACGAAAACAAAGAAAAGCGGCTTATGGCGAATTATTTCCGCAAAATATGTTGAATAAAAAACATAACGTACCGACTCATATGTACCTTGCCAACGAAGAGACTGCCAATCTAATTGATAAGCAACTGGATCCTTTTTTCAAGCAGAGCCCCTGTGACACCATTTTAGAAATCAACCCAGGCGCTTGTTTTCTCACAAACAAATTGCTGAATCGTGAGAAACAATTTAAAAAAATCGTTCTAATCGAGTCTACAAGTCATTTTGTAGATCGCCTACAAGAAATGCATTATTTATACCCGGATAGAGTTAAGTTCAAACTGGGGGACTTTGTGAATATTAGGAAACTTGTACATGTGGATAAAATTGATAATGGTTCCCGCGTATCTGAATTATTGAGCGATTTACCGAGGAAAGCGTATCACGATGGTAACTGGAACTATCTTCGTTTTAATAATTAGTTTTTATTTTTTTCCATCGTAGATGCAAACATGATTTTGTTCGGCGCTATAGGATGTTATCAATTTTTTAAACATTTACTTAATTCCATAATGTTTGGCAACAGTTTTCTTAGCTTAGGAAGAGCTGAAATGTATTTGATTATGCCGCCTCCCACATATTTGGTAGGTTTGATTCGTAAACTAAATTTAGGTTTTATTCACAATTACACTTTCACCAGTGCAGCACTTGACCTGCAGCAGAGATATAGGTTACCTAATGTATAGAGCAACATCCATACTCTTTCAAATATTGTTCGAATATCGCTTTATAGAGCGTTTGCCAAGGGTTTCATTCTTACCGCTACAAAGCGAGTACTTCTTTAATAAGAGGAGTAAATTAAAAAAAGTAAGCGTTGGTGTAAAAAATTGAAAATTAAGACAAGTGTCATCTAAAACCTTTGTTACTAATTATAGATTCTTTCTGTAGACGCAGATAATCTGTATTTAACGCGCATTGTGCCGCGTCGAAACCTACATGAATTGTGTCCTCCTGAAGATTTGCCAGCTTTATGGTATTTTGTCACACAAAACTGCATAAGTCGCCGTAATCGCATTATACCAAATTTAGAGTAAGTTCTTTGCCCATGTTTATGCCTACGTATTTTCATAATTGTATTCTTAATATAGGAAATGGATACCTGGTTGTGGTGCACGACTTGTAGTAAACAATGGCAAGTCTGAACAGCCACCACAGGTTTATACCGATGAGCAATTAAGTAAACTACCGAAATTCTCTTCGCCTTGTAAAGTTCTAAGCACTGCAGACGCTTTGCCACCTATTAACATATATACAGAATTTGGCGACTTAAATCCCAATCAAATGGTGGCACTTTTTCGAAAATTTCGCACTTGGCCTGAGTATAAAGACAGCTCATTTTTGGCTTCACTTGAAAACACTATGTTACGAGCAGTACCAAATTCAGACGACATTAATGAAAGTTTAGTAGAGGAAGAGGACATAACTGCGGAAACTTCGAGTGAAATTCAAGAAGAACTAAATACCAAAAAAAAGCCAAAAACTAAACGCACCAAGAAAGGGAAACCTTCCACATAATGTTTATTTCTTATTACAAAATTCGTATAATTAATTCGTCATTGTAGTAAGGAAATTTTGTTTATATGCATTTGAAAAAAAAAAAAAATCATTTTTGATTCATACAATCGCCTTTTAAAAATTTCTTGCTACCACGATTTGTGCACGAATCCTTCACGGGTTCAGAGGCGAATCGATTTTCTATTGATAATCGGATGCAATCAACATGCAAAGTTTTTGGATCAACGCCTATTACGTAGCTCTCAGTAGCAGTCGTTTGGCACGGACCGTTTTCACCGAAATCGTAACAACCGCCCCGTACTTTAATTCGCCCATCTACCTTGCAATCGTTGGGGACACAGGCGGGTATAATTTTTTCGTCGGGTAAAATCAGTATTTCCTCCGCTTCGCAGGGGCCTCTGTGAAATGCAGGATAGCAAGCATCCGTATCGGGATGATAAATGGCGGCTGAAATATGTACATTTAGTTTATTATTCTATAGAATTGGGTAGTGTTATTGTAACAGTTACCAGGTGCACAATCGCATATCCAATCATTTTTTTGATCACCCGGATACAAGAGTTCGTAATCCTTGCAGCGTCCGGGCGAAAACAGAGGCAACCGACCCTAAATAACCCAAAAGAGTTTGCATTTAATATAATTTCTCTTATTAAGCGGAAAAACGAGAGCTTTTCGTTAAATTTACAATGAATTTAATGAACATAATTATTCCAAAAAGAAGTAAAAAACCCATTTCTGTTGGGTTTTCCCATATTACTAACCTGCAGATTAGCTTTATTTTTGCTTATGTCGACGACTTCCGGAAAACCAAGCTGAGATGAGACCAATTGTATGGCCATCATAACGCAAATTAATGATTTTCTTATATTTTGCTTCATACTTTAAAACAAAAAACTATGTATAATAAAATTTTACTTATATTCCGTATGCGAACCGACAGATTATAGATCTATCTTTAGTAATTCCTACAGAACAACTGAATAGCTATGCCCTGTCCGGTGTTGGGTGAAAAGAATGTGATTAAATATCTTTAATAAACGCAACTTATTGATCAGAGTAACGTTAGCAACCTTAGAATGCACGGGGAAGAATACTTTTTCTTATCTCTTAAAAGCTCAAAGCAAAAAACTAGTTTTTTATAAATGAAACATTAAACGACTTAAAAATTATGAATATAAATGTATGTGCGGGGAGAAAGTCTTTGAAAACAACAAATTTTTGTTTATTTAAAAATAACCGTTAATCTTATAATTATACCGTGTCCGCCTGATTGCCAAATCTCACATAATTCTTTGATAACAATTTCTCATTTCCTTTTCAGTACGATATTTAAATATATGTAACAATTTTCAATACCACATTATTCGCATATTAATTATGCGCTGAATTCGCTCCTCCCTGGCTTTCTTTTAAAAGAAATATGCTATTCAACTCGATCTTTTGAAGCTTTTGACAGTTTTAAAGGAATGCAACTAATGAGGATTCGGTTTATAAACACTAACATAGAAAAAGCTAAATCTGTTCGAATTCAAGCCAAATATATCAAAAACGTAAACGAAGTTCTAAAGGGAATCTACTCTAACACAAGCCTAGAAAAAAGCAATCTTTTGAGAATTTTTTTAGAAGAAAACTGGATAAACGACAATAGCATATAAATTTAGGATAATAAAATTGCTTGAAAAAGGTAAAAAAATTACAACACAGTAGCCGTTATCTTGACGCAGTCTGACTGATACAAATTTGGTTTTAAAAAAAAGACTAAACGAAAAAATAAATATATACGAACATGCACCTATGCGCAAGCGTTACATCCATACGCAGGTATACGATAGTTTGTGTTCCCAGCATGAACTTTTGTGTGGTTTCAAGCGCACATGCTAAAAAAAAACACGTATCATCTAGTTTCTCATCAAGTTACTAAAAGTATTTCCTTTAAATACAGTAATAATCTCTACATTTTTATTCTTTCTCTTTGATCCTTTGTCCTATGCAGTTCTATCTATCTTTTGTTCGTATTTCCCAAACAAAAAACACAATATGTTTTGTTTTTCTTCTTCATATTCACAAGTTGTGAAATCTGGAAGTAAACATGTGCAGCAACAATTGTAAAAATTTAAATTTTTTTTCTCAGGCTATTCCACGATGTCCATTGAGTGGCTTTTTTGAGAAACATAAGAAAAATTGAATTGAAACATTATTTATTTTTTGCGCTGGCAATATCCTAACACGCTGTGAATATACGGTATTTGCCATTTAATTTACGTTCGATATTTGCTTTTAATTAACGCTTGGAATTGCAGTTTTACAATGATTTTTCTCCAATGAAAATCTAAAAAAAATTAATGAATTTTATAGAAATTAATAGTTTAAGTAAGAAAGTTAGTGTGGTATAAAAAAGTTCTCTTAAAAACGGCAGTTAAATTGCGAAATAATCGGGCAAAATAATTTTATGGAAGTGAAAAGATTTGGTTGCAGAAAAAAAAAGAGTGTGGGAAAAAGAAAAAGCAGAAAAAAACATAACCACTAAGGTGAATGTGAGCAAACGGAATAAGAGAAAAACAGAAGAAACAAAAAACAAAATTTCTGCCAGATTCATAGTCACAACAAAAAGAATAACATTACAATACGATTGTGGAGATCCGTAAGCGCAGTAGAAAAGTTGGTGCACACACCTGTCGCGGGGTATTCGTCATCACAAGGGTGCCTTACTGGTAAAAAAAGAAAAAATAAACAAATAAAAAAAAAACATAAACGATTTAAAACATATGGGACGAAGAAAGACCCTTGATATATTTAAATAAACAGAACAAATCAAAGGCACTTTCGTTAAGAGAAAATGTAGAATGAGATATAATGGTTTTGGCGAAAGTGTGAATTAATGCATAAAAGTGAAATATAAAATACAACAAAATGTTTACAAAAAAATCGCATGCGGATGTTAAGAAATCTACAGCGAAATTGCAAGATTATAAAAAGGATTCGGCATCACGTTTGCGTCATTTACGCACTATATTGGGTAATGAAGTGTTTTAATTTTTATAAAATTCTGAAATCGTTATTATGTATTGAATAATGTATTTACGAGTGGGTGGGTAAATCGACAACAATGGCCAGTAGTACTTAATTGAACCAGAAACTAAAAAAAAATAGTTGTTGGCTTTGAGTGTTGGCTGCTTTGTGTTGCGCTAACTACATTTCTATAAGAGTATAGGCGTTTGTGATGTGATAGCCGTTGTTGGAAGTAATTGGTGCTAAATATCGTCAATGCATTCTACTTGTATGCACTCTTTACAACTCTATCGTTGATTCCCGATTTGCTCATACAGTTGGATGGAAATGACGGAATTCAAAAAATTCCTTTTATTCCATCTTTATACGAATAAATACATTCATTGTTTGCTAATTTCTTTCGCTTAAGCTTTTCGTTTAGTGCTTTCCAGTTTTTTTTGCGTTAGACGAAAGTCTAAAAATATATTATTTTCTGTTCATAACTATATCCACGTATTAAGCATTTGTATGTGTATGAATGACCTTACGGTTTCTTTCTCTGCTTTTCGATCTGCAGGCTTGGCAGTAGTACTTGGTCAAAGTTTTCTAACTTTGGCTAACTTTCCCACGAAAATTTGCTCTGTATACTAAAGAAGTATGACAAATGCGAATGTGTTTGTGCGTCTTCATAGCTACTTATGTTTGTTATTAACGGTTGTTATAAAGTGTTGGGTATTCAAAATTCGCCCTAAACTACCGTGCTGTGTTTGCTTGTTTTCTGTATAAATTTCCACAGAATTTCTTAATTACTTATGCAAATATTTTTGTATTTTTTGCACGTTTCAAAAATACACCATCCAGCAGCGAAAATATCATCGCAATCCACGTAAGAGAAAGAGAAAAAGACCAGCAAGGCAAAGCACATTAGTCGCCCATTGGAAGCAGGAAGTTTCAATTCAAATGCATTAAGACAGATGATTAATAATTATTCAACGTTTTTACCATTACGATGGAGAGAGAAACTGAAATTGATATTTTCTAAATATTCTCTCATTTTTATTAATGCAAAATAGCCTTAGAGACAAAGTATGCGATTCTATCTATTATATCTAAAAATTTACTGACGACTTCACTGAGGAGTTCTATAACAGAATGATGTTCAATAATTTTTGCTTTGACTTTGCATTTCTTCACACAATCGATTGCCTTTTTTATTTTAATAATATGTTCGTGTACTCTTCTTTTTCCCATTGCCCGGTGTTAACATGTTATTGGCCATTACTTATCTATTTCTATCTGTTGGTCTTCTATATGTGTAGTGCTTAAAACCTGTTTGGTCGTAACTGTTGCTTGCAAAGACATGAACTTTATTAGGTTATCGAGAAAATTACGACGTGTATTAGAAATAAATACCGTCAAGATGTTAAACACTTTCTAGGCTGGCAAACGTACAAGCAAATCATGTTTATGCTATTTTTAAGTTGACGCAGCTTCTGAAGTCCCACAAAATCATAAGAGCTACTACATTGCTTCAAAGCATTAATAAAAAAAAAGACATATTAAATTTCGATATTTTCATTCGTTACATTATGAATACGAAATCTTAAATATTGAAAGGAATAGAGAGCAAAGGAGCGAGCCTTTCCACAATAACATTTCATTTACTTCATGTATTCGAAATCTAATTTCGTAAAGTTTATATTGAACAATAAAACACAATATTTCTGAATATTCTCTCCTAATATCGATATATGAGAAGCGTAGAATGTTATAACGTTTCCAACAATCTAATATTATGAAATTATTCGCGTTCATGCTTAATGGTTTGAGTCTCGCTAATTTATGAACTTTGTTAAATATTTATAAATAAATAAGAAATGATTGCTTTTCAGTTTAGACATGGGCGTTTAATGCTTTGTTACTTAATTTTACAGTAAACTTGACTCTGAATCATTCAACTGCGGCGAAGGATCCACCGCAATAATGTAAAATTTATAATAAAACAATAATTTTCTTGGTTATGGTTGACGCATTCGCATTTAACGGCCAATGAAATCTCAAATCGCTGCATTTTTTCCACATTAGATAACTTCATATATCTAGGTATAGACAGTCTAATTAATATTTTGGATTGACGTAATCCTAACGGGAAATTACCATTTTTCTGAAAGAAAGTTTTTGCTTAGCAGATGATTTAATCTACGCAGACAGCTTTAATTATTGCTTTGCATTATTTTTCTGTGTTTTATTTTTTAACCAATGTTTTACATGATTGTTATACGGTTTTTATCAGCGGTTTAGTTTTTCCTTCTATTTTTCAATCGTTTCCAATTAAATTAAAAGTTAAACTGTTAAAAGCAAATCATATATACATACAGATACATATCCTATACAACATGTTTAAGGCAATTGGGTTAATAGAGCAATTATTTTTTGTTTGTCTTTAATACATGAATGTGTTATCTTTCAATAATTACGTTGGAATATATATATATATATATATATATATATATCTACACAGCTCGTTTGTTAGTTTTAGGCGCAACTAGTCTTTTTAACACACTACCAAAACCGTTCGATAAAATTTATTTACTTATCTGATTTGCTGACGTTCGCTTATGAGCCTGTCAATAAATACAATCGGATCCCATGTTATTGCGAAATGATTAAACTAAATGTGAAATCAACGGTCCACAGCGTAATTGGCAAAGGTTTCTTAAGCACAATTCGCTAAATGAATTCTACTTTATAGTATTTTGAAGAAGATATAAAATAACATTTTTAATCGAGTCTTTAATAAGTATTTAATTCAGCATCTTCTCCAGATCTGTTTTGAAAGCTTGCGAAATTCCCATCTTATGCTTCAAGAAGTTGCTTCAAGAGTTGGTAGCATGGTTCCTTCCTTCAATTTGATTACTGCAGGAATAGTACCCTGCGTACATTGTCATGCATTCTTCTCATTTATCCAGTATGAGGTGCAAGTGGACCATGTGATGGCAACTGCTCGCGTCTGAAACTTTTCTGAGGCTTTGGCAGAGTTGAATACTGAAGAATATCGTTTCTCATCTATTCGTTATGTGGCCCCTTCGGGTCAAATGTTAATGTAACCTCTTTTACCAATAGATTCGAAATATATTTTCCTATTCCTGTTTGCCGTTTGCTTTGTAAATCTAACCAAATGGCTTGTGATTAATATTAAGCAATTAGTTTTCTCAAAAGTCACACTGATAAAGCTCAGGGGGGCGAATCCAAGTCTATTCTGGTTGCGGAAAAGTCATTTTATACTCCAAAAGTTTTACTTCTTGATGGGGCAGTTACTTTCTGAAGTCAAATTAAGAATCTTAATTAATAATACGCAAACCTGTCTACCATTTTTGAGGTGGAAAGGGATAGACGGGAAGAAAACACAGTTACGGGGAAAATATAGCTCGATTTTCTGTTTACTCTTGTTTCAAATGATTCTTGGCATTTTTCAAAAATCATATTTGAACACGTTCCGCATTTTATAAAATAAATATATTTGTTACGCCCACCACTCCAGCATGTGTATCCCAATTTCCATGACACAATGCTTGCAGCATCCAAAAGGAAGCCTCAGCGACCTTACAACGTATATATGTTCTTGATCAGCCTGAAATTCTAAACTAAGCCATGTCCGTCTGTCGGTCTGGTACGTATTATTAACACTCTCCTGGTGGCAGAAATGAAATTGGTCAGAGTACGTACCCGCGGTAAATCGTAGAACGAAAGGTAAAGTGAACGCGAGGACCCGAAGTCCTACAACATGAAGCTTTACGAACGGAACGATATTAGCCAAACAGAAGATTTTATTTTTCTTTTTTTTGTCAAGTATAAATGTTTCCTTAAACCGATATTTATTTTCAAATTATTTTTAATTTTTGTTTGTAGATAATGTTGATCATGAAGAGGCGAAGTCACTATTCGAAACGAATTACAGTCATGTCTATTTTATACTCTACGACACGTTCATACAGGCCGAAGCCAATCTCAAACAAAAAGGTAAGCAGATAATTTGGCTAAATCTTACATATTAATTTAAAAAATATGAATTTCGTCAACTGATGTACCTAGAGTTAACTACAAATCTTTATACCGCGCACACATATATATATATATATATACGCTGGTGAATATGAAAATGGTATAAGCTATTCTGTCGAGATATTTGAATATTTGCAAAAAGTTCAAACTGCACTCTTTTTAAAAGGAACAAAGAGCCTAATAGTTCACAAATTTATGTGGATTGCTTTGAAGCGTGAAAATGCGAACGAACTTGTTAATTTATTTATTTGTTTGAATTGTAGCTTTAGCTCACTTTTTTAATCACCCGCGTATATGTCAAATCTTGGCAATATTTACCTAAACAGTTGATATGTCCATGTTCACTTTATTATTTAAAAGAATCTCTTGTGTATATTTATATAACATATTAATTGATTTCATATCGCGATACCCACCGCGTAAGAGGGTAATGGTGAGATATGCAAATTCTGTAATACCGTTTAGATAATCAGAAGATCTTAGGAGCCCTCACTTTGGGTTTGCAAAAAACTATGGGCCCTTTGTGCAATGTCCATTCAATAGACGGTCTATTCACGGTTTGTTATTGTATTTTTCGAAATCAAGAAAATTGGCCGCATCAGTTGAATATTATTTATGATCCACAAAACTTGCAACAAATCCATTTGAGCATATGTGATGCAATAATCTATGACAACAAATATTCATTGTAACTACATAAAAGGCTGTAATCTGAAATTGATTTCAAACGATGCACAGATATGTCCACAATTAGGAAACTTTGCGGGAACCATTTATGTATTCGATTTTTATAGCTTAGATCACATGTACTACAAAGCATACTTTATTGGGATGTATACAATACCCAAAAGGGCTTGAGGTAGATTTATTTTTTATTATGCTGAGTTTGTCTGTCCGTGCCATTATCTTATTTTCTTTTATTCGACCTACAGTGTGCAATTTTTGAGATATTTCGATGTAGTTCAAGGACAAATGCTATTGGGAACGGGTAGGATCGCACCGCCTTTTTGGCTGCTTCCCATGTATTGCCTTAGTTTGAAAGGTCGCTACATGAATAAAGATAAGACGTTATGATATTAAGCAAAGTGATTTTGGGTATATAATAGTCGGCCGTGGCCATCTACTATGTTTTTACTTGCTATATGTATGATATTTATGTATATATTTTTATTGAATTTTGATCTTATATGGTGTTTTGTACTTTCTATTATATCCTCCTTTTTCATTTTCTCTAATGTGTAAATCCTTATCTCTTCCCTTTCCATATATGTCTAATCGTTATTGTTTAACCTGCAATTACCAAAAACAAAATCGTTAACTGAAAATATGTTGTCCTACCACACACTACCATGTACTACTACTACCACTGCTACTACTACTATTACTACTATTACTATTACTATTACCAATATCACTACCACTACTACTGCCAAACTTCAATTACAAATTCGAATAAACACATGACAGAACTTCCGTTTCATATCGGTAAGTTGAACCTGTTTAATTTTTCTTCATTTCATTAATCCCATCGCTTTTATAAATCGCAAAATTGTTGGGCTTTTAAAGTGTTCATTTCATCTAAATTTTTGCATTCATTTGCGTTTTTGATTTTCATTCGCATTATAATAGATTAAGGCACATATATATATAAAGTTAAGAGGATCCAAGGAATTTTTGTTGCCATACAAAGCATGAATTCATCAACTTTTGATGCATTTGGAACAAAATTTCCCAGATCTGCTTTCATTCAAAATTTCACATATCTATAGATTTTAAAGATCAAATAATTGCAATTTTCATTTATGCGCTCTTCACTTGATCTTGATCTTGATAATAGTTCATAAAGCTCACCGCGAAGAGTTGGACGGTTCATTGTGGCTGCTGGAGAAGATTTTATGTTTGTTGCCAGAGCTCCTGGCTCGACGCTGGCAATGTCATTCACTTAGTCGTATTATGGGTAAATTACTGCATTTGGGAAATTCTCCTAAATTACGCAAAGAAGGCGTGCGGTTAGTTATCAAGTCGTTCTATTTTTGTAACGTAATTGTCTGACTTTCTTTATTTCCAGTTACTTTCTTCTTTGGTATCAAGCCTTGGGAGAGAATGCTCCCTCCTATGTTCATAATATGTACGGCGACTTAATTCCTGGCCTTATAGTACCTCAAAAAGGTATTACAGGTCCCGACGTTGAATTTAATGCTGGCGACTTTCTTAATCATCCCAATATGAAAGTGGAGGGCGGCATGACATCCGTTTTCCACGATACTTATTCACATCCCGTACAAAATGCTGAATTAATAGCTCTGTTGCCACCTTCATCGAATGAGAAATCGACGCCACCCGATCCACGTGACGGTCTAGAAATACTGTTAAATAGTATGGTTCAGACGATTGCTTGCCTCAAATGGCGCGACAATCATTCCCAAAAAGATCACAAGGCCTTTGCTTTCTTATTGCAACGTTTTAAGGAAATCTTTCTTCCAGTATTTTGTCCTAATTTTGATTTCACTATGTCGGTTTATGAGCCACGTGTAGAGTTACCAACTATGCGTTCTATTCACAAGAAAGAAGAAGTCATGGCTTCTTGCACGGTCGTTTTGATCAATTGGCTTTCGCGGTTCACGCATGAACGTCTATTGCAACATCGTTTGGATAACGTTCATATAGCCGAGGCAGCTGATCATATACGTTTGCATGCCTATCAGCAGGGTTTAATCGTCAGAGACGTTCTTTACGCTACTCGTGAAAATGTTAATTTCATACACGAAGTTTATCGACAAGGATTTCTTTTAAATTTTACTACCCGGGCTCAAATTGATGCTATCCGTACAGTTATCGCTGTTTACCGCGATTGGATGACTGGAAATACGCCACCGCCTTTTTTACTAGAGCCAGAGAACAATTTAGCTACGACAAATCAGCAGCAGCAGCAACAACAACAGCAAAATTATAGTCACAGTAATGCCGGCGGTACACCTCGCAGCACTTTGCGTTTACGCACAGCTTCTTACGCAGGCGCTATGTCCAGAGAGAATTTGTTAGTACGTGCTGGCCTTCAAAATATTCTTCAGACTTTTGTTACAAATGCGGCCAATGTGTTTCTGGTGAACACAAGTAATCTTAACATATACTTTCCCACAAAATCTAGGGATTATCGTTCAACGCCTCTGCATGAGCAAACTGAGGTTTGCAAAAAAGTTCTAAATGTTTATCGAACAATGGTTATGAATACGCCCATGGAACCGAAAACTTGGGAACAGCTGCTGCTGGTACTACTTCAAGTGACTTCGGTTGTTTTGCATCAACATCCACCAACAGCTTCAAAAAATTCTAGTTTAGGCGGCATTTTAGGTCAGGCCATTTTTCAAACGCTCATTGTAACGTGGATACGAGCTCACACCAATGTTCCCGTCAATGTACAATTGTGGGATAAATTCCTAGCTGTTTTGACTTCGTTAACCTATCGCGATGAACTTATCATTGAATGGGACAAAACTATTCAAACGTTGACCAGAGTCTTCTCGCGTTATGTGTATTCGTTGAATCTACAAGATTTGCCTTTGGACCGTTTGGCGGAGAGTAAAGGTAAACGCCGACGTATGGGAGTTTGGCAGCAAACATCTTCAAGCAACGGAATAATAGGCAAGGAAAGAGAAGCAAAAGAACATATTCAAGTGGAACGAAACTTTAGTGGTAGCCGTTCGGAAGAAATTTCGCAAAGCACAGGTGGTATTGTGGAAGGCACTGTGTCTGTTAACAGTAATAATCATAAGACGGCCTTAAGCAGAAGCGGAGCATATCAGCGTTATTCGTCGGCTACTGCTGGGTATCCTACGACGCCCGTTCTCTCATTGAATCGGAGCTATAGTGAGGGAAGTTTGGCGTCAGTAGCTCGTACTTCGCGTATGCGCCGCAAACATCAAAAACACAAGAGTCAAAACTCTTCTAACAACGCACCAATTTTACCGTCAAGTGTAGAGCATTCATTAAACGCAATTCTAGCTCAGTCTTTAAGTGGCAAGGAAGAATTTGAACATGTTGATTTGAATATGACGGCGCAATCAGCGGACATACGCAAGGCTATGTCCTTGGATTCCTTAACAACTTTGAAGAGAACGAGCAAAAGACGTAGGATTCGACGCGCAACGAATGCAGAAGATGAGCGCGATATTGACGACGTAGATGGTGTCACCGAAAGTGCTGATGAAGGTTCGCGCAGCCCTTCACCCACAGCTAGTAGCGGGATCGAAGGTAGTTCTATGAAAGATGCTCATATACAAATAGATGTTTTGGCTGTGGATAGTGGCGGTAGTCTGGGGGAAAGCGAAGGCAATTCCGGAAGTTTCAATACAGAGCGGCGTTCTATTATCTTAGGCGGCACAGCAACTGGTTGGTTACCAGACTCCACAGCGATAATGTGGAAACGTATGCTTGGTTCTTTGGGCGATATCAATCGCATACCCAAACCAGAACTGCATGCTCAAGTGTTTAAGCATTTACTTGACATGACGCTTAATTTAATACGCATTAGAAACAATCAAGGAGTTTCAACAGACAATCAAAGTACACCTCCTCCACCAAATTTGATACCGCCTATAGGTTTAGTAGCACCATGGTGTTATGGCGCCTTAACTTTGGACAAAAGCTTTAAGCGGGGTAAGCTGTGGGCAATACAACTTCTCTGCACGCTAGCAATAAATGGTGCGGCAACTAATATGCAGCAACTACCAGTATTCTATTTTGCTTTGCATCGCGTTCTAACAGGCGAGGAGAGGGAAATGATTTATGCAGCTTTGAAACATCTAGAGGGCCCACGTTTCCTTAGTTTATTGCTGCCAGGTCATACATTATTGCTATTGGATATCGTACATGCTTCGGCGATATTGCTTACTTCCTTAGAAGCCAATCGCGCAACACCTAGAGCTGAAGTAGCGGCATTATTGGGTACATTGTTGTCTTATCCTTCAACTCTATTACCTAGACCTTTGTTGCAGCCATCTCCACAAGTATTTGAACTTATGGAATGTGCCGATTTGCAAGACCACATTCTTAATATAGTTCTCCGTTGCGCTCGGAGAGAACCGTCGGCCAGAGCTCGTTGCATTGCTTTGGCGCAGTTGGCTCAATGGATTTTATTAAAATTATCGCAGCCTACTTGCGATGACAATAATTCTGGATTTCAGCAAGCAATTCCTATCCCGAAGGGCATACAACTTAAAGACGAAACATGTCATAACCGCTGTTTCAATCCACGCATCAAAGAAGCTCTTCAAGTTCTCTTGCAAGCTTTGCAGTTTAAACATCGAACAATTGCTATGGTTGCTATCGACTCATTGAAATTGTGTTCACAAAGAGGTCAACAGTTGGCTGCTATAGAGCGATTACCGCATTTAATAATCATGGCGATTTGTAGGGCCTTAGAAATACAAAATGTCACAAATCCCAAAGACGCTGACAAGGTTGTACTAACTGCTTTAATACTTTGTCTCGGGGAATATTGTATGGCTTTACCAATGACAATTATGTTGGAATCACTAAACGAAAATGGTGAAACTTTAATCCTTATGGTTCTTAGAGTTCTGCTGCAGATTGGTGCCGGAGGACCGCGACACGAAAGAGTAAAATTGACAGCGGACGATGATTTTGACATGAATATTGCTAGTGATGATCTGCAAGAAGATGGCAAATTACCCGAAGCCAATTATCAAACTTCTGAGACAATACAAGCATGCATTTCAGCAATACGTCTTTGTGCCAAAGCAGTTGTCATGCATCTTGTGACGCACTTGGGCCATTTTCCCATGGGAATTGGGGCGGCTCGTTTGAGTTCGCTAGTGGAGGAACAAGACGATGTCAATACACTTAATGGATCCCCTGTTAACAATCTGAATAATTGCAATAGTGTAGAATTACGAAGGGATTCCGTAGAACTTCATTCGGTTTTACATGCTCAAAATGTTCAATTGTTTATGTTGAACCCTGGATTGGTAGCTAGCTTTATTGAATTGCCAACTCTTAAACTACCTGGCGGTGGGGTAACCGCTGGTTTGGTTACAGCTGAGAAGCAAGTTCGCGTACTTTTGCGGGATCTTAATGGCAAGGCCTGTTGGGACGCCTCAATTCTCTATAGTGAACCAAAGAAAGAATTTTGCAAATCGGACGATCTTCCGCCCTCGGCTCTGGACCCCGCAGCATTTAGTCCAGCACATTTGCAACGTTTACAGCTGGTACAACCAATGGACTCATTAATGACGTCTATGCAAAGCGTAGAAATGTTAGCACCGAGGCATACGTTACGACATCGACCCGCCGGAGAGCTGCCATTAGCTAAGGATATGGCTCCCGATTTAGATCAACTAGATGATGTGAGTTCGAACGAATTCAATCTGGTTCAATGTTATTTTTTAATAAATTTCATGGTTTTTACTGCAGCTTTTGGCATATATTGGTCACACTAGTCCTGAATGCTTACCTTATCCGGTGACGCTTCTGAATGCTCCTGGGCCTAGTCCTCTAGGAAGTAATGCCGAAGCTCGCGCCATATCGGTTATATTAAATCAACGAGCTACAGAACTGGAATTTGTTGCCAATCTTAATCACCTAGCTCTCCAACAAGCTCCGGCTAATAGTAATACTTCTTCTCTTGGGGTGCCACACGATGCTCGCTCTTTGCATTCGGTGCAAGAACCAATGTCTCACAATTCATTTGAATCTTATCACAACTCTAGTTTTAACGGACGTAACGAGATACCGTTTCAATATTGTCGGCTGCTTTTCTCCCATTTAGGTCTGGCCGGATGGGAACGACGGTCCCGAACACATCTCTTGCATCGCACTGAAAAACTGTTGCGGGAATTGCGCAATGTAGATTTGCAAAAATGTCGAGAGACCCATAAAATGGCTGTTATTTATGTGGCTTCTGGCCAAGAAGATAAGAATAGTATATTACGAAATGCCAGCGGCAGCATGATGTACGAGATGTTTGTATCGGCTCTCGGTTGGGAAATTGATTTAGAGACACATAATGGTTTCTTGGGCGGTTTACCACGTCAGGGCTGCGGTGCCACTGCTCCGTACTTTGCTACGCCATTTCTCGAAGTTATTTATCATGTTGCTACTCGCATGCCTTCAGATTCTTCCGAGGCCATATTGCTGAAAACGCGACATTTGGGTAACGACGAAGTTCATATTGTATGGAGTGAGCATAATCGAGACTACAGACGTGATATATTGCCAACAGAGTTCTGTGATGTTCTGATTGTAGTGTATCCCTTAAAGAACGGTCTCTTTCGCGTGACCGTTAATCGCAAGGCTGAGGTTCCTTGGTTCGGTCCATTAGCTAATGAGAGCGTGGTGAGCGGAGCTTGCTTAGCTGAGCTAATAAGGGCCACTGCCATCAATGCTAGTCGTGCTAAACGAGCTGCTTTACCACTCTACCAGCAATAGTACGTTCTCTAAATTATTTTAGTTTTTATATTCGTCTTATGATGTATTCTATGAATATTTTAGTTATGAAGAACGTAACCGTTCGTTAGATAGCGTTTCTTCACGATATAAGGAAAGTACAACATTCGAGGATTTTGCAAACCGTATTTACAATCCCATGCCAGTATCAGCTTATGCTACGTTAAGGGATAGTGGCAATAATGCGCCCTTAGCAGCTGCGTTAATTGATTCACATCAACGTTCTTCGGTGAAAGGTGGATAAATTGTTTTCTATAGATATATGGGTAATAATAGTTTGGGTTAAATCAATAATTATGGATTGCAGGTTGGATACAAGCTACTATTGATTCGGCAAATGTGAAAGAAATATCGCATGGTTTGGCGCCATCGGCATCGGCCTCAACCACAGCGGCAATGGAAGCTGCTCACGCAATGTCATCATCACCGAGAGGTGGTCGAAAGTTGGGCTCAACCTTCAAAGCTGGTACTAAACGCAATCCTTTACATTCGACAACTCATCATACGACACCGCCGGAAAGTCCAACATTGCCTTTGCGCAAATTTAAATAATATTTAGCTTTTTCTAATTAAGAAAGTGATCAGAAGTTTAAACGAACTACCAGTTCGTTACAACTAGAGATTATCAAACATAAGTATTACGTGCGACCTTAACATTAATATTCATTCCTCTTACGTTGTAAATGAGCGAGTGAGGCAAGATATAGGTAGAGCCAAAAGATGCGCATTTCATAATAATCAATCAATTGAAGCAAAATCAACGAAGCGCATTTTAAATGCTAGCATTTTTTATTATAACGTTTTTTTTTTTTTTCGTTTTTCTCCTCATCTTCTTCCGCTAAAAAATCAAGTATTGTGACATTTGTTTTTGCAAACAATTCTATTTTGCTTAACTTAACTTATTATTATAATTATTATCCGTTGTAGTTAATCTTATATGTTATCTTATAGTTATTTATTTCCCTTAACTTGAAGTTTGTTTTGTTTTCATTTGTTTTATTTGATAATCATACTTTAAAAAAAAAAAAAAAAAAAAAGAAAAGAAAAACTAGGAAGGAAAGAAGTCGTATTTATACATTTAAAAAAAAAAACAGCACAAAATTTATGCTAAGTTTATGTTCTACATAAGAGTGAAATTATTAATATATATATATATATCTACATATATTTATATTTTATATTGTATTAACATAAAGGTAACACTATACGTCCACATCTATTTTGAACTGTTCTTTTACGAGCATCGTTTTTGAAAACATTCTTATTTATTTCAACCAAATATTCTAATGACTTGCGTTCTAACAACAAACAAACAAACATATATCCATCACCCTACGCATACATCATAGTATTAGAATGTAAGTTAAATCATCAGTTTTATTATGCATTAAATAGTTTCTCTTCATAGAATCGCAATGCAACAGTTAATGGCGCTTGTGAAAGTACTTTACAAATAATTTCATTTTCTTATAAGAATTTATAAAAATGTTTTCCTGTACATTAGACGATTGAAATAAAAACATAACAAAAGGGAACACGTCATCATCCATCGTTAAGCTTTTGAAAAATGACTCTCTTACTTACTTACACTTATGGCTTTCAAATTAACGAACTAAACCTTTGATTACAAATTCTTTCCTATTTATTGTATTGAAATTCCTTGAAGTGATTATTGATTTTTTTTTTTTTTTTTTTGAAACGTAAAATATATTAACAATAAACTTTTAAATTTCATTCTTCTTCTTGCTCGTGTGTTTAACATTAACATGAGGTATTAAAAACAATTGAAATATATATTGACGCAAATAATATATATTTCATGTTTCATGAAAATATCAAGTAAAAGTAAAATAGGGAGCAATTCCGTCCTATTTTCTCCACATCTTACACTAAGTAAGTTGAAAATTATATAATAAGCCATTAGCAGAAAACAGTCGAATGTTCATATTTTTTTTTTTTTTGCATCCATTACAGGCAATTAAGTTCGCCAGATTCGGTGACAGTGCATCGGGGGTTCGAAAAACCATAACTATTGCTACCCACTTACGGACATCACTAGTGTTATTGGATTTTTTGGCGTCTTTGCTATACAGTTATTTACGAGTGTTACGTATGCTATGTTGCAAATGTTGAATTGTCTATCATTCCATAGCACGTTACGCTTGCAGTACTATTGAGTTTATTTCTTAAAACAAATTTTGCCACAAATTTTTTTTTTTCTTTATTGCCTACAATTTAATTCGAATATATTCGTTTCGACTTATCTATCTCATTTTTATTTTTGTTCTTCCTTAACCTGAATAATTGTTGATTTGATGTATTTGTTTGTTTATAGGTTATAGTGGGACCTGAGAAGCCCTACGACTAAAGGCGCTTGCATTGGTTGAAATTCTTAGGCAACAATTAGAATGGATCCAAGGAAGGAATCGTCGAACCGTCAAAACTTAGTTCTGCTAAATTTATGACCGAAATTTCACAAGGGGTAAGTTGTTGATGATGATTTATTCAGATTTAATTTTTTTTTTTTTTTAATAATCTTTTGAAACTAATGGCGCTTCCTATGGCGTGTTCAAATTTTTACACAATGCCTAAGGCTCGCACTATTGATCTATATAAAGGAAAAATTTTGGGAAAAATTAAGGAGCAGTTCAAAGTGGATTATATTTTCTAATTTATTATATACGTTCTCATCAAGGTCGCAACGTTTCATTAAACTTTAACACGCTTTTTTCTTTTTCTGAACAAAGTTTTAGTAACGTGCATATCTGTTTGGGGGTGTTTTTCGTTACCGCATTGGGTTCACTGTAGATTTTAACATAATATCAATAACGTTCGTATTAATATTGAATGCTTTTGAATGTTTTTATTAACAAACACAATAGCTACAACGATGTAAGAGATATCTTTTGTTTGGTTGATCTTTTGGTACACCTACCGACTGTTTTCTATCGTACACATATTTGGATAGTTGTCAGGGATATTGAAAAAAGAATATCTGCATTGGTCGCGCGAGTCTCGCATATTCGCCTTAGAAAATGTTATAAAATAAAACGAACTAGCGAACCACAACTACTTACTTACTTAAGTAGTGATCGGCAGTGCATTTTATATGCATGTATTAGTTATGTTGTGAACGCATATACTTGGCACCAACTATGAAGACACAAGGGGATAATAAAACATGCAGACAGGATAACCTAGTTCCTTTTTTGCATTTAAACATACACAAGCGTATGCAGATTGTTTTGCTTGCCTTTCCTAGTCACTTTGTCTACGTAACGTTGTTCAATGAAACTAATACGTAATAACTTGTAAATATGCTTTAAAAAAAAAATATCTCTGCATCTGTGTATGTATGATACAAACTTTAATACACCATTACATTGCACACAATAGTTTCTTACATTTCATATTCAGCTGGAATACAACAAGCAACACATTTCCCTTGAATGAAGTCTTCGCGTGTGTAAGACCCACCTCGATATGTATTGTTTTCATAAAATTTCTGTGTTTTCAGTTTCATTCTAAAGCTGACGCCATCACCTTTACTATAACGAAAATAGTTCAATCACATAGTAAAATAGAAAAGATGACGAGACTATGTCGGGCTTGTGTCGAATTTTTGAAAAGCTATCATCATATACATATATATATATATATATATTTTTTTTTTTCGGGACGATTTTTATTTTATTTCCATTAAATCTTCAATTTTCTAGAGACATGTCTATCCGCTTTTAAAATTGACCCCTGAAAATTCATTGCATGCAAGGCCGCAATCCTTGTCCTGCTTATTAATGAGAACTCCTTTATATTGTTGCGTTTCTTAATCTCAGATGCTTTAATATGTATCGCAAGTGAGTTAAAAAAGTTAACATACTCTCGCTTGAGGAGCACAAAAGCATGTTTGTGTGTATGTGGAAAACGAGAGCGCCAATTTACAAATTTCAATAGTTCCGTCTGGCTTGTAAGGAGAGTTCAGTTTTCAATGATTGCTTAAACTGTTAACGTCTTGAAGAGTCCATAATTTATATATATATATACATATATATAAATATATATACATAAAAGAATATATATAAAAAATGTAATATTTATAGAAATTAATCGCCGATGAGAACATTAAATTAATAAAATTAAAATTGTATTTGTAAAATAAGTGAAAAGAAAAAAGGGAAATCTTCTTAAAAAATTTAATTAAATTAATTTATGTGAAAAGCAAGGCTCTGTAATGCGAAAATATCCACTTCAGTTGGTTGGATTTAATTAAAATGGATACAATTGTTACTGTTAATGTATGCGTCGTCTTATACGAATCAGTTGGCTGATTGGTTGGAATTAATTTCTTATGGACTAAATCGCCATGAAAAATGTAAATTCTTATAAAGGATTTCAAATGCTTAGCAAGGAAGCCCAACAGAATTTGCAATTGTACGAGTGTACGTATTCTTTATGGATGTGTGTGTGTGTGTGTGCATATGTAATTATGAAAAAAACTTTTTGTTCTGGTATGCACGGTGCACGGTATAAGATTAATGTCGAAAGAAGCCTTGCACGGGAAGTGGACGTTCATTTATAAAATACGTATAGGATTTTCTTTAGATCTTTTGTTTTTCTTTTGTCCGACGAAATAGGTTTTGCTAGCCTAAGGTCGCGTTTCTATTTAAATGGGGTTTTTTTATATCATATTTATATCATCGCCAGAAGGAAGAGCGCAAACGTGTTTCGTCATTACATATTCATAACATCGTCAACGAGTACGTAATTTTATATCAACATCCATCTCTCGATCTGTCTGTCCACTCTTATTATGCCGGAAATCATCGCAATTGACTGGAACATTTGAAATTTTGAAAATTCTGTTGTCAATTTTTGTAAACTGGACTGGAGTGGTTTGGACCGACAGAAGGTATTGATAGTAATCAAGTTAATTAGAGGCTTTATAATTGCAAGTAACTCCTTTCATCAGGATAGATCTTTCGATTAAATCGCATATTGTATTCGATTAACGAGTGCTTCTGATGAGAGATCAGACGCGGCTTACGATGTGTAAATAAAGTTTTCAATTTTAAGAAACTTGTGCTTGTGCTTTTACGAAGATTTTCTCATTTCAAATTACCTCAGAGATTAAAGGTCTTTCTATCTTTCAATAATTCATATCTTCATTATGCAACTTTCGTGAGAGCGTAAGCCAGTCACAGTAGATGGTCTTTGTCGTAAAAAAGTCGGTAAATTCAAGATAATTGAATTGATGTTGTCTGGCCTGAAAGAAATGGCGAAAAAAAAAAAGCGTAAAATGCATCACCATTACCACTGCCTATTACTAAAAATAGTATGTACATGTAATTAACGAAATTATTTATCGACAATAAAAAAAAAGAACACGAACATGGTCTATACGAATGTTTTGACAGAAGTGAAGTTTTTTTTTATCCCCTCATTATACATGCAAATATGCCGCAATTTGTACTCTTGATATATTCTGCACTTTGCCGTTCTAATCCTTTGAGGTCATTAGGGCAGATTGTGTTCAATTTCCTAAGTGTTTATATATGCAAAGAAGTGTTGAAATGAAGTCATTGAAAACAAGTTTCGATGTGTACAAAAGAGAAAGGCAGAGTACGAATAACATGAGAAATTTCGCTTCCTTTTCCTTCTCCTCTTCATTCTCGTTTTATTAACTTTGTAACTCTTTCAAGTTATTTTATAAGTGCGCCAATAATTCATAAAAATCCAATGTATTTTTTCTTTACTTCTTTCCTTTCCTTCCTTCTGCGAAAAACGAAACGCATTTTTCGCACTTCATGTTTACATATATATATATATATATGCTACATATCAATACGTGTTTACGTAAAAAAAAAAACTAACTTCGGCATCCGAAAAGAGACACTTGAGCAAGTACAAGTTCACACACAGTTTTTAACCGTCAGCCGTTCTGTCCAGTACTTCTAAAGAACATTAAACCGAAGTGAATATATAAGCGCGGAGATGGTTTAGAAGACGCTTACTGTACTGTAAGTGAGTCATCTCCGTAACTCCCAAATGTACAAATCTTCATTTTGAGACACAAAATTATGGGCCAAAGGGGACCGTGGGTAAGAAAGTTTCTATCGTCCGTCAGTCTCCAAAGAGCTTTCTGCGCGTGTATTTCTTGAGTGTAGCCGCGTCTGTGCAGTGTTTGTTGAATAAAAAGTAATTGCCATTCTTGGACCGCTTCTTTGACGCTTGACATTTACCCTTTTGGTCTAAAAATGTATGTTAAGACGACATTGCTGAACGCATCCATGCGAAATGCACGACATTCCTGTAGGTTTAATTTGAAAACTTGAACACTGAATCCAATATGTAAAGGAACCTCCACATGCGTCCCCGGTTATTATTGCATATTAAATACAATTACTTCATCAATTGCTTTTGTATATGACACCAAATGTTGTGCATTTAATGTTTTATGCAAGCAATTAAAAAATTTTTCTTATTTATCTTTGTCTCTGAGAAATTTTTGACTTTTTTTAAGCTTCAGTCATCCACTTCGCTTTATACTTTCCTTTTCTCTCATCTCCATAGTAGATCATTAAGGCCTTATTAAATGAGATAAAAAATAAATAAATAAATGTCATCACTATTTAGTAAGCGCACTTGCTGACGTCATATTTAAATTAATTTTTAATTTGTAATGCTTCATATGATGATTTGCTCTTACATTTAACTTGTTTGCTATCATCGATAGCCATTACGCGTTGCACGTTTTCGTCAGTCAGTTATTTAGTTTCTTTTTCATGTTACAAACGGAACAATAGACTTGGTACACTCTCATGTTCAATTCAATTACTACGATTTATTTGTTAAATATTTCTTAAACAATTATTCGATGAAGCGATTTGAATATAAGCTGCTTCAGAGACAGTGGCCTTACGACATCGAAATGCTTTACAGAAGAGAAAAAAAATGTCTCTGCTCATTGAGCTCTCTTTAAGTAAAGTTAGCCCGGCGCTAGCTTTAGATTGCGTCCGTTAGCCTTAATGTCATTTGAAAAATGTAGATTTATTCTTGGTGCTTCCTTCCTAACCAAGTGAGCAAGTGTTACTATCAATTCGTTGACATTGCTTGATAAGATAAATTTTAGTGTGTCACGAATCGCTTTTCAATCCGATCAGAGCCCTTTTGCAAAAATCTAAATTATATCTATTACTTAATGTCAATATCGGATTGTTTAAATCCCTTTGTAATAAGCTTGTAATCGTAACATCTCAATATCATTCGAAAGTGAATTGAATTTGTTTACTCTTATCGGTTGCCTACCATTGTTACCATTGTTACCATTACATGTTTGCGAAGGCTTGGGGGTTCATTCACAACTCGGGTCTGTACCGGTTGTGTGTGTGCCTCCGCGCTAGATGTGTACATGCATTTTTTGTTTCTTTCATTTATTTATTTATACATGGATTTTATTCTTTACATACTTTCGCTATCTTCATATTCTTTATTTTTCTTTATATATTTTATATTAGTTTTTAACAATAATTAGCACAAAACTCACTTCTCAGAGTCAATTGAGTTCTCGGCTATTAATTTATTTCAGCTAAATTTCATGTGTAAATAAGTAAAATAGATGAACAAACAAATGCGATTATTTTGATTTTCCAATTAAATGCTTAACGATGAACTGCGTTTCCATATATCGCTTCACTATCTGCTAATTAAATAAAGTTTGTACAGAAAAGTTATACTGTTACGAGCAGTGAGATAAAACTGCTTCTTAACTAACTAGTATTGGAAAATATAAATTTAATCAAAGGAGCAATTCAAACGTTTCTTCTTCTATTACGTTCTTATTTCCTTTCTATTTCTGCTGATTTAAATTTCTTAAATTTCTTACCTGTGGAGCGATTACTTTTTTTTTTCAAAATTCCAAGTAACTGAAAAATTTTTCAGAGCGACATCTGTGGAGCGAAGCAAGTGGTGGGGCCCGCACAATCTATTACATGTCGAAATTCTATCATTGACATGAGTTCAAGGTTCATCTGTCAGTTCAATCGATACGAATCAAAAAACAATAAAATGATCATAGAACGTCATGGACGTCATAGCGTCCTAGTAATAAGTGCAATTACTGAATAAGTAATTATTTCGAAACACGACATTGCCATGGATTGTAGACAATTGATTTTGCATACTTGCATTTGTTAACACTGTTAAAGTCATAGAACTTGACGAGTTTCCTAAATTCTGGTCATTAATAATTTCAAATAAAATTTTCAGGTGTGGCGTCCACAATACAACATGCCAAGCATGTTCGGCAGTTATTGCAATTAGAATCCAATACAAGGCATCAGTGTTTTAAAATGTACCCATAATAACCTATTGTGAATCTGAATTCATTGATGGTTAATTAATAAATCGACTAAGGAGTGTATGGAATACCTTTAGAGAACTTGCACTTCTTCTTGGCATCCGGACATAGTATTGGTTAGGGTAATTAAAACGTTGTCACAGCTTGGTCCAAAAAAAAATAAATAGATAGTCCACATAAGTGAGGAGATTGAATATGCGATTAGATGTATATATTTTGCAGTATGCACACAAGGAGAGTAAGGGTTGAATGTTTTTTATAATTGGATTGTTTTTATCTCAATTTTAGACGCGGTTATTTCCCTTATGATAATTTTGGCTATAACTTCCATTGTATGGAGTCTCACGATGCATATATTATCTGGCGATTTCTATAACGGTTTCATAGGTTTCAAGTTAGCATTTCGCGAACGCGATTTTAATCAACTTAATGAATACGAAATGAATCTATTGCAACGCGATCTCAAACGAATAATCAACGATACCAGAATGTCTTCGTGCGATGATGGCATAAAAGCGGATTTGTTAATAATGTCTAAAGAGAGTTTCGCCGGTAATCGATGGTTGAAATATAATAGAATAGTTCTAGTTAAAAATAAACGATTTTAAATTTCAGTTACTCGTACAAATGGAAAATTTTATAAAGTGAAACAAACATTTCATAATAGTTTGAATAGCGAAGAAACCGATAACACAGACATGTCCACTGCCACTAATAAGGACGACTATCATCGAAGCACAAAGGATTTGAGAAATAATTCAAAGTTTGCTTTCAAATCGGAAGGCGATTGCAAATTCCTGAAGCAAAGCAAGTATTTTCGATGCGACCTATTGATGAATTTAAAATTAATTGTTCATTTTAGTGTCCATTGATGTGCATCGCACTGAATGGTTCCGTAATGTTACGGTGCAATTTATTTATAGCTTTCCATTCCTATCGGAAATTATAGCGATTGTTTGGACGGTAATGTGTTTTGTATTTCAATCGGGCGTTAAAAAGCAATGGTTAGTAAATCGTGAACTTGTGAATGCTAAAGATTGGTTTGTTAAGTGCTGTTTCTTTTAGGGGTTTACCGAAACCTTGGCTTATCGTTATGCCGTCAATTGTAGTGTTTGCACTAATGGTCGTTACCAACGTAGCCTATATAATCTTAGCTAATGGACTTTTAAAGGCATTCTGCCGCGAATTAATAGACAATCTCAATAAAGCCGAAACGATCAGGTGTGTTACGCTTAATTATTGTGATCCTATTGAGAAATGTTAAGCAAACTATAATGACTATTCGAATTTCTTATAGCTGTGGTGATGCTATGTCGGTGTTACGCCCATTTATACGGGATCATGTATTCTCTCATGATGTCTACTTAAATATTTTTCGTATTAGTTATATTATGGCTTTGGTGCTATGGACTTGCGCTCTATTAATAATGATTGCTCGTTTCCTGCTTGCTATCGACTTTCAATTGGTCGATATCGAGATAGATTGTGATACAGAATTACCTGAGTGTGACACAAAAGGCGAGGAATTTGTAGAAATTTTACTACAATCGCCCGTTAAAGAAAAACTGCAAACGCCGCAAACACTAACAGTAACTATCGAAAGGCCAAAATCCGAAGACGATTTCCTAAGTGCCAAATCGCATTTTAGCGATATGGGCGCAAATGTCTTAGAAAATTTGAATGCTACGCAAAAACAAAAATAAAATCAATCTATGAGAAATCATTTTTTTAAATTTACAAATAATATTTTTTAAAAAATCTCAGGAATTATTAGAAATCGAATCTCGTACTATTTTATTTACTTCATTTCACAATCATAGATAAATCTTTAAGGACGTAAAGTGACTTTCTCACAAGGGCACCTTTCTCATTGAATAGATAGTAATTTTTCTGGTTATTGACAGTTTATAAACATACAACTGCAACTTTATGATTAGATGGCCATGCCATTAGCCAGTCGGTCTTGACTTTTCGGAAACCATCACAAGTAGAAGAAACCAGATCCATAGTTAATTTGGGATGGAGAAGAAATTAAAATCGATTCTTTAAGTCTTTCTGGTGTTTTTAGTGCTCTACTGGTTTAATGTTAAAACATTCATCTCAACAGTTTTAATTCATATAATTTGATGACAACTACTCCGTTCACTTAGTCTTTCCACTATTCTATTAGTTGAGAATGTAGGACATTTCTTTTTTTTTATTTAAATATCCGAAAAGTTGGAATACATGGTATGGTCCTCATGTAATTTTCCTAAAACGTTCTATCAAATTCTTTAATGTAAAAGTTATTGCGAGATCTTTGTCTGCAAGATTTTTATTATTTTACAATAATTGCTTTGCTTTCATCTGAAAAATGTTTTGCCTTTGCATCAGTACAGTGTTATTGGTATAAAGTTTAGTTTTGTGTGACTTGCAGGGGGTAGCGTCCAATCCAATAATCAGCAGTAATAATGTCATTATTTCCAAAAATCAATTAAGTCTCTCTTTGGAAAGATGATAACGAAAGTCAATTGCATTTGATGTTATTATTTTTGAAATTTTCTTTTGTGAACAAAATTTAAGGAAACTAAATAAAAGTTAATAAAAAAAAGAACTTTTTTTCTTCTTTGTGCGTTAATCTATCCCACAAGGCGAGAAAGTTAATCCGAAGAAGTTTGATTAAACACTTTCATTGTTATAGTTTTGGTCTCCAAATAGTTATCGAGGCCATCTTTGCCCAATTCACGACCCATACCAGAGTTTTTGTAACCACCGAATGGAGTCTGCGGTAACACGGCGTCATAACAATTGATCCAAACAGAACCAGCGTCAACACTTTGAGCGTATTGCATCGCTTTATTCAAATCATTAGTAATCACGCCAGCAGCTAAGCCATATTGTACATTATTGGCGCGTTCAATTATCTCTTCAACGGTACTGAATTTAAATATGGACTGCACGGGACCGAATATCTTAAAAGAAGAGATTTTTTTTTAAAGAAATTCATGGGAGGGGAGGGGATTACGTTAACTTTGGCTTACCTCTTCTTGAGCTATTCTCATATCATCGGTGACATCCGAGAAAACAGTTGGTTCTATAAAGAAACCTTTTTCGCCAACACGTTTTCCGCCACATTGTAACTTGGCGCCTTCTTCTTTTCCACTTTCTATATAACTCAAAACTTGAGAAAATATTTCATTGTCAATTTGAGGACCTTGCAAGACTTTATCATCGAAAGGATCGCCGACAGTGCGCGACTTTGCTTTAGCGACAGCTTTTGATACAAATTCATCATAAATTTTTTCATGGACATAAGTGCGACTTCCAGCGCAGCAACTTTGACCGTGATTAGAGAACAAAGCCTCGTGTGCAACATTCACAGCGAAGTCAACTGCAAGGCAATAGGTTTATTGTTAATTGACAATCTTGCTATACTAACATAATATATTTACCATCAGCATCATCGAATACTACCAAAGGACTTTTGCCGCCCAATTCCAAGGAAACGCGTTTAAGATTCGATTTAGCGGCAGCTTCCATAACAAGGCGTCCTACAGGAACGGAGCCAGTAAAGGCCACCTTTTGCACGTCGGGATGCTCAGAAATGGCTGCACCAGCAGTGGGTCCGAAACCGGTAACAACATTAATAACACCAGCCGGAAAACCAGCTTCCTTGGCCAACGCAGCCATATGCAAGGCAGTCAACGGAGTTTGCTCCGCAGGTTTCAGAACAATTGTGCAGCCTACAGCCAAAGCTGGACCCCATTTCCAGGCTAGCATCAATAGAGGATAATTCCAGGGTATTATTTGACCTACAACGCCCACCGGTTCTTTACGCGTTATGGTAACAAGATCGTAGCCAACCGGCACTGTATCGCCACAGAATTTATCAGTCCAACCGGCATAATATTTCAAAGTGTCAATCGAATAATCAACATCCAGACAAGCTTCAGTGTACGGTTTGCCATTATCTTGGGTTTCCAAACTCGCCAAAATAGGCTTGTCGCGAGTCATCAGTTCACAAAGTCTAACCGGAAGAAAACAAAGGTAAACAGAGTGATCTATTTTTCAGGTTTTTAAAGGATATTCTACTTGATCATTAAGTCAGTGCGTTGCAAAGGGCTCATTTTACGCCATGGTGAGTTACGTTGGAATGCCTTTTTGGCGGCTGCTACTGCCTTATCAACGTCAGCCTGATAAAAAAAAATTATGCATCAAGGTTTTTAAACTCATTAAAAGGTTATTTGTTTTACATATGCATCATACATATATAAAAGAATAAAATAAATTTTGTTTTTAACTTACTTTATCACCTTCAGCAACATAGGTGATAACATTGTTGGTGGCTGGGTTCACAGTCGCGAATTTCTTATTTGATACAGAAGGAACAAATTCATTGTTGATAAAAAGCTAAAAAAAAAAAAAAAAAACAGCAAAAAGAAAAGAAGACAAGATAGCTGTAATTATAGAAATTTCTGCTTTTATACGATTACGTTTTCATTTAAGTCAAATTTTATACGTCTCGCTTCTAATTCGCAATCTGAAAAGTGCGCTTGACAACAAAAAGGACAAAGCATCTTAATGAACACATATACAAAGGCAAAATGCAATTTCATTTAATTGTTTTAATAACTTAGTATAATTTGCTATAATTCTATAATATTCTTATGACAATGTAAACAACACGCAAACCCTTAAATAACATCTTTTAAAAATGATCTGACAATTTGCGTGCAGTGAACACTTTTCAGTTACCTTTCATTATGGACATACGTAAGTAGATTACAAGTTGTTATATTTTATCTTTATAATGTAAGCTTACACACACACATTTTGTCAAATAAATTTTATACGTGTGTGTGTATATAGGTATATACAGAATCAATTGTCAATATGCGAGCAATTGTGACTTATTCACGGTACCGACATTTGATGCCTGGCACTCTTCGCAAGCGAGATCAATTGTATTTTGTGAAATCATTAGCAATTAGAATATGTCTTCTTAGAAGACATATACACATATGTTGGGCTAATTTCTTTCGATCGTTAACTTTTTATAAAGCTTAAGATTTTCCCTCATTCGGAAAAATAAAAATTGAATAACAAGAATAGCAAGCAGAACTTTTTGCCTGAACTATTTATTTAATGGGAAGATAGGTGGAAGCGACATCAATTTTCCTAACAAAGGACGACTTCTGATGTATTGAAGTGCAAGAAATGGTTCCCCATCAAAGCAATTGATAGTTCATACGAAAAAAAGGTTGGAACTCAAGGTAGGCGAAGCAATGCAATTTCTCGAGCTCTACTGATACTGCTATTTTCGCTCATTTGTATCCAATATATTTGAATTAATAAACGCTTCAATGGGTAAGAAGATTTAATTATTCAATCTAATCTAAATTAACATAATGGTCGACTGCCATACCCTGCTCACGTACAATTATGAGGTTTTCTCCAATGTGCTTAGCATATCAAGCAATTCGTAATAACTCTTTTGTAAGGAGATTCATAATTATCTAACAAAGTTTTCATTAAACATTTATTAATCTGTGCGGCATGGCACTCACAGGGTAATGATGAGAAATCGGGATTGGTTTTGGTTAATATTCTTATAATTCATTTGAAAATTTTTGAGAAAACTATTTAAACGAATATGAACATCTGTTGTACAATTGAAAAAGGGCCGACTGTATGTCATTGTGAGCAAACATTACTTTCATTCATATAAAATGATTGCATTTTGAATATGATCCAAATCGATCGCTGGCTTACATATTTTATATATTTACAAAGTATTCCTATAATTTTTTCACATTCTTTTGCTTTAATTAAGTCAATTTTTCTCCTATCATTGAAAAAATAATCCAGACAAAGAGAGCGCCAGCTATCATTGAATCCCCGCAAATACCTCCCGTATAGCGATAAATAAAAAATGTATTTATTAATAGTTAAAAAACTTGTTGATGCTTTACATACGTATACATATATACAAACATAGCTAAATCTGTGATTGAGATAGTAATTGGATATATATGTAGATCAATATAATATGTTTGAGAAAGCAGTCTCATTGGTGCAAACGTCTCAATCTTTGCAATGTTTACATTAACCCGGTATTTGTATTAAGAGATAACTCAAAAATTTATTCATATATGTACATACCAAAGTGTATTTAGGTTCGGCTGTTGGATTTTTTGCCATTTTTTGTTTTTTTTCTGTGAATTATTTATTTTGCAATACGGTTAAGATATTCTTCTTAATTTTTTTTTATTAAAAGCGCCTTCCTTTTGCCGGCCGGTCTTACGTTGTTTAGCGAAACAAGTGAACAAATAAAACTGAAATATATTTTTCGATTTCTGTGCTTTTATACACCAGTTACTGCCGCTTATTCTCATTTGCAATTCATTATCATGCATTCATGCTTGTGCCTCAACGTTTAGCGTATTTTCTTTGTCATTGCTAATATCTACTGATACCGAATATGAATAGTGTGACCAAACGCTTTTTTTTTCTGCACTGAACGTGCAGGCAGTTTACAGTGACAGCCTGCAACGCGGACCAATGGCCAATTAGAAGATGAAGTACTTACACTTTCACTTTTAAAGCCATCCGGCAATTTAAACCTCACTTTCAATTTTGGAGGAGTCTTTTTATACGACTTATGGGCGGTTGCTAAGTTATACATGGCGGTTCTCAATAATTCTTCTCACGAAATGTGCCCAAAAATATGTTTAAACTAAAATTTTTAATATTATGACGTAAAAGCCGAAGTCATTACGAATATGAAAACCAGAACCACTACTACTATTAGAAAACTTTTGCTTTATTAGATATTGAGCTTTCAAAACAAAAATTGTAATTTTCTAAAAAGATTCTATGTTTTTCGTTTTCGATCAATAGCACTGCCATTATTATATTCAAATGTTTTCATTATTCCTTGGAAAAATCGGACTTTGTTTACATTGGACTTGACCCTGCTACTCATTTATTTTAAATCCTGAATACAAACAACATAATGATTGGTTTACATTGCGGTCTTTTCCTTAGTTCGTAAATATAGTAGGCAAATCGCCTCGCTTTTCAATTATTAAAAACACTCTTTTATTTATCAAATAGTTATAAATATTTAATGCTATGAAGAATAACAACTAATATTCGAATGGTAATCGGCGTGCATCAGGCATTTCAACACGTTTTCAATATTTGCCTCTAAAGTAAGCACAATTACTATAGCGATAGTTGACTTTAAAAAATATTAACCCTAATATTAAGGGCGGCAACAGTTGTACTAATTGTTGGACAGTGAGAAAATTCCTTCAGTAGCTCTTATACTTCAATTTACAAAAAAAAAAATACTACATTACTATCTAAGCGCACGGAGAAGCACAGTTATTTTCACCTGCTTTTGTCATGTGCTCTTTGGAAGGTTTTCCAATCTTAATTCATAAAAATCGTAAGTGGTGAAGTGGTGAACGTTATGCCTGATCGCATTGTTCTGCTTACCTTCGTTGAGCACGTTCTGAAAATTTTATTTTGACTAATGGAAAATTTACAAAAGCTTGTCTCTATAAGCACAAAAGAAACGCTTTTTTTTAAATATTAACTAAGAGAGAGCTTTCACGTATTTTAACTCTCATCTGTTGTTATTGTTTAAGACAAAGTGAAATATGTTCCAACTTCATAGAAACTATTTCAACTTTGACAAAATTTTCTAAAGCGCGTTTTTTTTAATTGTAAATATACTGCAAAAACGCAATTCATTAGAAATCCTAGTTCATACGTTACATATGTATTTCTACTAGAATGCGCAATGTTAAGTCCAGGAAATGACTACATATACCTTGAAATCCCTTATCGTATAGGAAGAAAATCTTATAGATATGAGAAAAGATGATTTCAATTCTAAGCAATTAATTAAAAATGTAGAAGAAATTATATAGTGTTAATAACGATTCTTCAAGCTACTTAAAGATGATTAACTAAAAACTCCCTGACTTGGGTTATGATAAAGCGATTTAGTTATATCGACTATTTAGTTTTCTTTCGCTTTCCCACTTTCCAGAATAAAAGTTGCATGAAGACCGACTAGCCCATAGGTTGGCTCATATGTACGTTTTTATATTCCATTTAAAAGCTATAATTTTACGACTTACTCAGTAAATTGCAAAGTTGCACTTAATATAATTATTTATTCTTAATAGGACCTTTTACGGAAATTGAAAAACGTCTTTATATTTGACCTTTTTTTATATTATGAATTTTGAGTGCGTAATTAAGAGTTGTAACACTAAATTTGAAAAACACATAGGAAAGATGGTAACTCCATATGCAATAAGATGAGAGCTTTACCGTTACTTTAAGAGATAGGTTTTTCTACTCTTTTTTTCTATTCTAGCATACAGCTGTTTTTTTGCGTAAGTAAGCCGGCATTTATTGAACGTAGTTAAAGCAAAATGTGCCACGGTTTTGTAAAAAGGAAAAAGATTTCAGTTCTTTTTCTTTTTAACTGGCAATATATTAAAAAAATGAGACTTTGTAAAAAACCAACAGTTTTTTTGTATAAAAATTATTCTGATCAATTGCTTGCATTTCGTTTGCAAGACAGCAAGAAATTGGCGTCGCATTATTCCGCCATTTTGAGTTATTCTGAATGCAGCGAAAATTCGGGAATATGTGGACAAAATTTAAGAAACAGTCGGTAGTTTTATCTTAAAGTGATCGGAAACGCTTTTTTTCACCCCCAATGCTGTGGCGGCTCCCCTCCTGCTTAATTTCTTTATATGCGTCAGTTTTCTTCATACTTCGGTTTTATAAAAATGAAGATTTCAGTTCGGAGAATACTTTCGAAACACGTTCTTTTTAATTGTCAATATATTAACAAAATGAGAGTTCGTAAAAAACCAACAATTTTTATGTATAAAAATTGTTCTCATCAATTGCTTGCATTTCGTTTGCAGGGCAGCAAGAAATCGGCGTCGCGTTATTCCGTCATTTTGAGTTTTTCTGAATGCAGCGAAAATTCGGGAAAATGCGGACAAAATTTAAGAAACGGTCGGTAGTTTTATGTTAAAGTGATCGGTAACGCTTTTTTTCACCCGCAATGCTGTGGCGGCTCCCCTCCTGCTTCACTTCTTCATATGCACCACTTTTCGTCCTACTTGCAAAAAACGATCGCAAAGAAATACCAACTAAATTAAAGATGCGCAGCTTAAAGAGGGATCAGTCTTCTCTAGCTATGTACATTGTCTACAAGTGCTCATCAGCTCATTACATGCTTCATCTGCTTTCGTCAAGGATGACTAACGTGTCCCAGCATTACAATCAGGTACTGTAACATTATTATTTTATTTAAGAATTACTTGTTATTAGACTGTAATTCCAAAGATGCAGCTATAGTAAGATTTGCAAATCTAAGAACGACGGTTGTATATAAATTATTTTAGACCGAAAAGTCTTGCTGAGCTGCCGAACATTCCTTACTTGTATATATATCCCATATGACCATGGTGCAAACAATATTTATCTCATGTGAATTCTATCTGATGTTCGCCCTGTCGCTATTTGCGCTATTTTAACAGAATATGCTGTATTGACATGCTTTACTTTGAAAATCGCAGTTCGTTCTTATAATTTCTTCCCTGTAAATGTATCTTAAAAAAGAACACTTGAACGTGTCAGCGTTTTTAGGTAAAATCTTTGTGGTAGTATCACTAGTATTTTATTCAGTAAGAAATTTTGGATTATGGCATGGGAAGCATCGATGCAGGACAGTTAATGTTTGTAACTATTGAGTAAGCAGAAGGTTTTAATCTGTTTGGTTCATATTTTAAAAATCAACGGGAAACGTTACGCGCGGGCAAGAACGTCTGCTAAACACCCTACATCACTTCTTCGGAGTGTTGCATACATCCATACACTCTGCTCCACATTTGGGGTAGGGTATAATAATAGTCAAAAATGTAATTTTAATGGGACGATTGTTATAAATCAGAATTTGTTATGTATCGATTGCCCTCCGACTGCAAGCCTTGATAAGATGTTTTTGCTAAAATTTGAAAACAATGATTTCTCCATAGGGGCATTAAAAGAGAACAAATGTACCTGAAAGTTTAGCAATTGTATTATGACTACGAGATGTGTTAGATCTGAGAAATCTTTTAAATTTAGACCACAACGTACCAGATGATAACCATGAGCTGCTGCTGCTATTCGACCCATTCCGCGATGCATGTACGGACATTGCAGACTCATCGACTGCCAAAGCTGAATGATCTAGAAATTTTAATTTAGGTAAAGCTGCAATTAAAGTGTTCCTAAAAAGTGAAAATGATTAAATTGATGAAGTAATTAATTTAATTATTTTTCTGGCATTCACTCACTTGTAATGTTCATATTCGTAGGGCACGTAATCGCTAAACGGCTTAAGGTTTAAATTATCCGGACATATTGGATTGCCGTGTAGACTTAAGTACTCCAAATTAGGGAATATTTTGCTTAGGATATCAGTCGTTGATTTTAAATCGCTGAACTAAAAGCAAAAATGTTGTGTGTTTTTTTTAAGCGAACATGCCCTCTTGTATGCATATTATCAGTAATTTTACTTCGTTTTTATTTAGCATTAAAACGCGCAACCGATCTAATGGTTGCTTCAATTTTTGTAAATGAGCTTCGCGCAAATAATTCCCATCTAGTATAAGACATTTTAATTGAGGGAAGTCATAAATCCATTTTTCTATGCAGTTAAGGCGATTGTAACCCAAGTCAAGATATTCACAATGTCTGCCGTAGTGCTCAATAACTTTCGCACCAACAATTTTGAGATCGCGTTGTGATAAAATTAACTGAAACCATTTAAATCTCACTTGCTGAAAGCCATTCCTTTAACATTGTACTCACTTGTTTCTCATTAAAGCTGCAATCAATCGCTTCATCGTCAAGATCCATTTATTTTTCGTTTTGCCTTTTTGTCCGTCACCTTTTTTTAGTGAACGAATTTCACGAATTATTCTTTGATTCTATTCAGGCTGTATATTATATGGAGATTGTGTCTCTGTTCATCTGCCAAGTGTTTGTCTTTTATTTTGACTCTCTGCTACTTACAAAATATATTATGAATAAAAGCTTTTAAAAACTTTTGAGAAGATTTCATTGCATTTTACTTAATGATGTTAAATACTTTCTCACATGTTGATAACAATGTTAAACTATACGATATGAAATGAAAGAAAAAAACTAAGCTTTTCTCTCGAAGTTTGAAAAAGACGGTAAAAGACCTGGGAAGTCCATGCTCATTAAAATTACAAAAATTATTTTTAAAAATTCGGTCTGTCCCACTTCATAGTTTAGTGGAATTTTCCGAAGTAAAAAGGGAGGTAATATTAAATGGCCTTCTGATGCAAGCACCAGCATACTGTTATAAGCAACTGCAAATAACATAGGAAAGCTTTCATCATCATTAAACGAATACAATAAAACGCATCACTCTTTCAAATAGACTTGCATGTGTACTTAGGCATACAACTTGCCAAAAAAAAAACACATGACACTAGATGTGAGTTACTATTCTCACCTTTAATACAAATCAATACAATTTTTTATCTTATTTTTGTAGAGATGAAGGTAGAATCGCGGTGTCGGGACAATGACTTTTGCGACAACACTAGTATCTCAATTTGTTTCTTTTGAATTTTCACACAAGCAAATTTTCGTGCGATCGCGTATGAATATTATCGGCTTTTATTTTATACACTTGCATACTTCGTAGTTTCATCAATAATATGCAATATTTGCACAATCAATAGCAGAGGACTTCGTCCAAACCTAAAAAATTTCTTGACCGTAATATGCTAAAGCTTCTAGGAATTTGATTAATATTTCATTGGAGAACTAATTGACGTTTACAAAAATCGCAAAATCTTTATATCACATTTATGACAGACTTTGGGACTCTGCTTGTCCATACCAGAGCAAAGGTTTTATTAATAACAATCATTCCATTGCAGGAGATAGCTACTCAATAGATAGAATTTTTCAGATGAGCCTGAGGTGAAATTAATGAAATTCGTATAGTGTGCAATGGGCGAGTTTGGAAAGAAAGGTAACTAGAATGCTATGTGGATTTTGCTCCCAAGTTTTGATGCTTATGAACTTGTCATCAGATTCCTCCATTGTTTTGACCGACTTTTTTGACGTTTTACTTGTGCGCTTCACACTTAGAACATTTGGGCGAGTTGACTGTGCATTGTCAATATCACTCTCAACCTCTTCTGTATTATTTGTGTGGATTCTTGGCTTCTCCAGAAGTAGCAGCTTCGATAGTGCGTTCGGTAATTTTATCTCGTTAATGATATCGATTTGATGGGAGGCTTCATTGACCCAGTAAATGCGTGTTCTACAAAGAGAAAGTTTCCTTTCTAGAAAAAAACGGTTTTTTAACGGAATTTTCCGATATTCGAAAACTGCTGGCATCGTTTCTAGGTAGGCATGCATAGACCATCGCGATCGAATCAATAGTGAATACGAAAATTTAATATTTTTTAAATTATTCCTTTTTTTTTTTTTGCTTTTTCTGTTATCAGAAATATTTTCGTTATATTCGATCGTTTGTAAGTTCAGCCTTTCATATAAAGTTGAACCTATTTTGTCTCATTATTTGTTTCTATTATAAATAAAACCAGGAAGCAGGATATCAAATATAAGTAGAAATAAATTTTGTCAAATTACAACTGAATCAATTTCCAGGAAAAACATCGCAGCGTTTCTTTATTTTATTGCGAAAAGTGCTCTTCTTTTAAAATACCAACGGCATTGGGCAATAAAAATTGACAACGTAAAGGATAGGTAAGCGTGCACCTGCTTTCGATCACCTGGTTGCATTAAGTACAAATTGATTTGAAGGGTAATTTACATCTTAGGAAAAACACAAAGTGTAGCAGCATAACTTGGAAAAAACGAATCATTTGAGTGCCCTAAGTAACGGGAATTAGCTAATCATGACATCATATCGACCAGGTGGTCGCATACTTAGAATCTCCGCTGACAAAAACGTAGTTCTTGCTCTGTTGAGGAATAAAAGAAAAAAACGCTAAATTTCTGACCTTGAAAGAGATAGAAAATGGGACGGAGAGAGAGATAGATCCACTTTAGCTGGTTCTACGATCTTTCTTTGTTTGATTCCACTTCCTTGGTACTGTACTTGTAAGAGCAAACTAAAGAGTAGGCTCTGGGGTTTCGACAAATAGCACACAGATCCCGAATCTGTTGTACTCCATTAATAAGTGTCTTAGTAACTTTTGTTTATGTTTAATGTCGCGCTTTCGCTGACTGGAAGGAATATAAGATTGTCTTAAGTTTGAACTTTCTTTGAAAAAAGTTTCCACAAAAAGTCGTGAATCATGAATACATTTTTTATATCCACTAGCAAGGAATGGATTCATGTTCATTTGGCCAAAATGTTAACAACAGATTAAAACGTCAGAGTTCCTGTTAACATGCATAAGCACATCCTTGAGCAAGATAGAACCAAGCATATGAAATTGATATGAAATGTTTGGATTGAATCTCTGCCATATAATCGCTCCTTAGAACGCTGACGGACAAACTTTTATATGAGGAAAAACCCAATTTTTCATATCTTACGATTGGAGTTGGCTCGTATCAAGGTTAGACGAAGCGATCGGATTCGATTGTCTTTACAAAGAAATTAGATATAATTTTTAGTACTTATCACGAAAATGGAGTAACAATTGGTGTAGGGTGCACAAAGGTTGTCCTTGCCCGACTCTTTACAATTTTTACTTCTCTTTGGCTAAGATAGTTAACCATAAACTGAAGTACAAATAATTTTGTAAAGTTTTGACCCAAGATAATAACCCACGAATATTATCCTTGGTATTTTTTTGTTTGCAAAACTCGGACACCTTTGTTTTAAATCTTAAAAAAATATCATTTAAATAAGTCTATGTTGCTTTGGATAATCACTTTTGTCATTTTTCTTGCACAAAATCCACTGCAGCAGTTTTGAGAATAAATTTATAAAAATTCCCCGATAGCGGAAAGTGTTTCCTTTACCTACTAATCCGCTGTTTTAGTCGCCAACATGTCGCCGGAAGATAATATAAAAATGGTCCGCAATAAAATTGCAGACAGATGCGAAGAGACGGTTTTTTTAAGCAATAAAATTATTTTTCGGGTTTTTGAAAGCACATTGAAATATGCAGTGAACGCGATGGTTTACGCCAACGTATATTTGTGTTCTCTCTCGCAAGCAACAATGACAATTTGCTTTTCCCTGTCTTGTAGCACAATCTTTTCTTTTACAAGCAAATAGCCTGAACATTGATCCTTTGAAACTCTTTGTTTCCTTTGCTTAATTAGTTACTTACTTATTTAGTTCTCGATTGCCTTGCTCGCAATCACGACATAAACATTTCTCTCTTGTGGTTGTGCTGATATTGTTCTATGTCCCAAGTGTTACATTTAATTTTAAATAAATTACATTGAATTGATCTTACAACGAAATGTCGACCGAACAGCAAAATACTAAATTGACAACAAAAGCAATTCTCAATCCGGCAATCTGCGAGAAATGCAAATTAAATATTGTCGGTTCGATCGATCCAATCAATTGCGGTTTTTGCAAAAGTTCTTTTCATCCGGGTTGTGCTAAAAAAATTATGCCATGGTTAACACAGTCCACGGTGGATGTAGCATGCGGAAGTGGCGTGGATCTTGTTTTTAAATGTCATGTGTGTTTGATAGGAGCTGCTTCACCGATTGCGGACATGGAAGTCTTGCAAGTACCGGAACATGATGGAGATAATCGCTCAAATGCAAGTGATGAATTGGATAATTACGTGGTGTTAGAGTTAAATGAGTCCGAGATAGATGACATTTCCTCGGCGCAAAGTAACTCGCCGTTCGAGGACTTAATAAGCGGATCTAAACTCTCCTCTGAAATAAAGGAAAACTGTTTGCCAAAATTAGTTAACATGAATACAGATGCCGCCTCTTCCGATGAAAAAATTGATGATAGTGAAAACGTGGTCGCAGTAACATCCGAGAATAACGCTGATAACTGCCCCTTGAAAGAGGAAGATAAAGTATCTGAACTGTTTTCGCAAGGGGAGAGGGGAGAGGTTTTGTTGAAGCAAGATGGCAATATCTGGAAAGCGTTATATACACAAAGAGTTGATCTCGTAGAAGAATTCGAGGAAACAAGTGTGAGCAACTCGCCTCTGCCGAAGTCACCTGACAGTAGCTTTTGCCATAAAAACGTTGACGTTACCGAAGGGTTTGTGGATGAAAAGAGCGGCAATAAGGCTCGCAGCTTCTACTTCGTACTGGGCATCTCATCTCTTGTAGGTAAAACAAGAAAATTTAACATGACTTCTCGGATAATTGAAAAGCTGACGCCAAAGCAAGATGCTGCCAGTACATCGAAAGAGACATCATGCAAAGAACGCAGTGATAACGAACAAGTAAATGCGGATTCCTCTCGCCCATCACGGAGTACTTCGCCGATTGGATGCTTCGGATCCACCTTTAGCTGCAACACAATACGATCAGTGAAAATATCCAGCTATTTAAGTTGTTGCTGTGCGAAAGTCCGGGAATCGGTAGAGTTTAAGGAATTTTCATAGATTCACTCGGTGCTTGCTCCGTCGCGTTGTATATCAAGAGTAATTAAATTTTGTATTTTCCCTCTCTCAAATAACAGCTTTTTGCATGATATCAATATCAATATTCCCGGCGATAGAACATCAAGGGAGAGAGAGAGAGGAAATAATTCATCAGAAAAAAGGCATTTCTTTGCATCTGTCAACTTATAAACCATAAGATAACGAATGTGAAAATAAAATAATACAATCTACATAGAACTCAGTAAATAAATCGACTTATTATGCTTTACCGATCGGCCCATCAAAAATTACGTAATTTTCATTGATCTCTTTAATACAAACACAAAGATTTAATTATCATATTTTCTCAGTAAATAGATGTAATTGGTAATGTCCCGTTAAATATATAGATGTATGTAAATATTTTGGTCAAAATTCAAATGCCAGGAATATGCGAGTTTTTAATTTAGGC